TTGGCAGTATTTGCCCTAATTGTTGACCTTTCAGGCAGTAGGGTTAGAGAACAGAGAATTTTATTTCTTCAGGTTAAGAATTAACTCTTCAAATACAGTCACTCAAATGGAAATGCACGTATGTATGGGGCTAAAGAAAGGACTAGTGGGAGAAGAACTGACATTTATTGAGTACCTACTGTTTGTCTGACACCGTGCTTAGCACTTTATTCTTACAACCTGTAGGGATAGTGAACTGAGGTTCACAGCCACCTAGTACAGTGGTGGGGCAGGCACTTCAGCCCAGACCACCTGACACTAAACCCCACATTCCTGTCCCCCACACTCCTTTGCCCTTTGATCCATCAGCCTCACTCTTACATCGACTCAGATGGGGGCATTTTTTTTAACTTAAGGTAGAATTGACATATAACATATTGGTTTTAGGTGTACAACATAATGATTCAATATTTGCATGCCCCGTACCTTGATCACCACAATAAGTCTAATTACCATCTGTCACCATGCAAAGGTGCACCCCCTTTCCCTCCCAACCCTCCTTATGGTGAGAACTTTCAGGATTTACTCTCTTGGCAACTTTCAAGTATTGGCTACAATATTATTGACTATAGTCACCGTGCTGTACATTACACACCCATGACTTACTTTGTAATTGGAAGTTTGTACCCTTTGACCCCCTTCACCCATTTCAGCCACTCCTGTACCCCTTTACTCCAGTAACCACCATTCTGTTTTCTGTATCTATGAGGTTTGTTTTTTGTATTCTACATAGAAGTGAAATCATATGGTATTTATCCTTCTATGACTTATTTTACTTAGCATGATTTCCTCAAGGCCCATCCATGCTGTCATAAATTTCATTCTTTTTATGGCTAAGTAGTATGCCATTGTATATATGATACCACATCTTCTTTATCCATATATCTATTGATGGACACTTAGGTTGTTTCCATGCCTTGGTTATTATAAACAATGCTAATCTAGCGGTGCATATATCTTTTGAATTTGTATGTTTGTTTCCTTTGGATACATATCTACTAGTGAAATTGCTGGATCATATGGTAGTCCTATTTTTTTTAATTTTTTTTTTGTTAACCCTCACCAGTTGATATTTTCCCATTGCTTTTAATTTTTGTTGTTAATCTTCACCCAAGAATATTTTCCCATTGAATTGTAGAGAGAGTGGAAGGGAGGGAGAGAGACACACAGAGAGAAACATCAATGTGAGAGAGACATGACACATCAATTGGTTGCCTCCTGCATGCACCCTAACTGACCAGGGTTGGGGATCGAGCCTGCAACTGAGGTACGTGCCCTTGACTGAATCAAACCCAAGACCCTTCAGTGTGCAAGCCATTGTTCTAACCACTGAACACATTGGACAGGGTAATAGCTCTATTTTTAACTTTTTAAGGAACCTCCATACTGTTGTCCATAGTGGCTGCACCAATTTATAATCCCACCAACAGTGCAAGAGGGTTTCTCCAACTAGGGTCCCTATGCTATAAGACAGCAGTCTAGTTTCATTCTTTTGCATGTGGCTGTCTAGTTTTCCCAACACTATTTATTCCCTCATTGTATATTCTTGCCTTCTTTATCATAAATTAACTATATATGCATAGGTTTATTATTGTAATCTCCATCCTGTTCCATTGATCCATGTGTCTGTTTTGATGCCAATACAATACTGTTTTGATTAAGATAGCTTTGTAATACAGTTTGAAATCAAGGAGTGTGATATTTCTGGCATTTTTTTTTTCTTTTTCTTTTTTTCATTCTCAAGATTGCTTTGGCTATTCAAAATCTTTAGTGGCTCCATACAAATTTTAGGATTATTTGTCCTATTTTTGTAAAAATGTTATTGGAGCCGAAACCGGTTTGGCTCAGTCGGTCTGCGGACTGAAAGGTCCCAGGTTCGATTCCGGTCAAGGGCATGTATGTTGATTGTGGACACATCCCCGGTGGGGGTTGTGCAGGAGGCAGCTGGTCGATGTTTCTCATCGACGTTTCTATCTCTCTATCTTTCTCCCTTCCTCTCTGTAAAAAATCAATAAAATATATTTTAAAAAATGTTATTGGAATTTTGATAGAAAATTCACTGAATCTATGGATTGCTTTGGGTAGTATGATCATTTTAACAATATTAATTCTTCCAATCAGACATTTTATTTTATTTTTAAAATATTTTTAAATTGATTTCAGAGAGGGAGAGGGAGACAGAGATAGAAACATCAAGGAAGAGAGAGAATCATTTATCAGCTGCCTCCTGCACACCCCCTACTGGGGATCAAGCCCCCAACCTGGGGATGTGCCCTGACTGGGAATCGAACCATGACCTGGTTCATAGGTTGACACTCAATCACTGAGCCATGCTTGCCAGGCGGATTGTGACATTTCAAAGAGGTCTGTGCTCTGGAGCCTTCTGAACGGGTGTGCCACTTGGTGGCCAACAGCTTCCTTTTGAGCTGAAGGTCTGCCTTCCACCCTCACCCACTGAGTAATGGTTATTTATTGGCTGACAACAGTCCCACCTGATGACGGCAAAGCAAGTTGGTACACATTCAGCCACACCAGCTTCAGATGAAGCCTCTGGCAGGAAAAGTTCCCACCGCTGGGAACTTAAGCTGATTAGCTGTGGGGGCTGTTTGAGGGGGAAGTGGAGTGGCCTTGACATTCACCCTCAATACTTTAGAAGTTTGGCCATTCTGTACATTTCTGTCTGCTTTCCCCCTTTGCTTCCCTGAGATTAAAAAAGAAATTACCCAAAAACAAATATGGCAATCAGTCTCAGTTTATAGTCTCAATTCTCATTTAATTGCTACCCATTCTTCTTCATTAAACAGCTCTCTGATCTAGACATGCAGTAATCATCCCGTCACTGTCTTCCCATCAAACCCAGTTCACAATTGTGCCTTACTGTTCCACTAAATCTGGCCCACTTTTAGAAAACCTCTCCATCTCCAGAGATGCCTGGAGAATACCTACTGTAGAGGGGCATGCTTCAGGAGGAATTGAAATTAATGTTTAGTCAGATATAATGGGAAAACACCTGGAGTGGGAATCACAAAATGCATGTGCATGGATTGCTTACCTTTAATTGGTCTTGAGATGTGGGCCGAGTGACTCCACCTCCATGGGTTCAGTATGTGCACCTCTGAGCTGCAGCGTCTCCCCACCGGTGTTCCACGGGTACATTCATCTCCTGATGCCCTGGATGACAGACCGGAGACATGAATGTCTTAAGTGCTCACTCACCACTCGCCACTCAGGAGCTCACTCTCTTTCAAAGGTCATCTCTAAGCCTACAGGGGTTGGGTAGTGCTTGTAACAAGATTGTCATTGTAATTACTTCCTTAACCAGACTTCAAAGCTCTTTATGAACCCAAACAATAGCTGAACTGATAGGGACAGAACAATTTCACCCCTTGAAATGTGGGTGGCATGTGCTTCCTGGTGGCCCTCAGCAGAGAATTTTCTCTATCCCCCCCAAAACCAGCACAGACAAAAGGCCTCACTGGTCACTGAGGCCAGTCCAAGAGTCCACCTAGGCTGAGGGTCAGCACAGACCTGAGGGAGGTAAAGGCTGGTCAGGCCACTGTGGCCAAGAGAAGAGGGCAAGATGGGCCAGGTCACAAAACCAGAGGTCATGTACCAGGGCTTGGGGTAGGCAGCAGGGAGCCAAGAGAACAGGCCTGGTCACAGAGCGGGAGGGAAACGGAGCCCAGCACCGGGAATAGTACAGAGACACTCGGAGGGCTCCAGGAAGCCAAAACACTAGTGACAGGGGCGGCGAGAACAGCAAGTCACAGTAATGCAGCAGGAAGATCTGGGAGAATTGGGGTAGCAGGTGATTTAGGCCTTTGACTAACAACTGAACATGGACTACACACAAAGGGGATCAGAACCACATGTGTATGACTAAATGTATGTATACACATTTAAATACAGATATGTGAGAAAAGTGGGTAGAAATGGGCAACAGGCGATGATAATATATGCATGGAAACAGAACGCAGACACTGACTTGGTCCCTGTGCAATGCTTGACACATACTAGATGCTCCATAAATGACGGAAATCCACTGCGACCCAGAGAAGGGACCCGTCCGCTTCCTAGAGAATGAATGGCATCATGAACCAGCATGGACCTTGTCTACTTACCTGATACAAGAGGGACATCTAATTGCTTAGTAAAGCTGTTCCCTTTGTACCTACTGTGCTATTTACCTAGTGTTATTTTTTTAAAACTTCATCAGAAGACATGCTTAGAGAGGGGAAGGAAAGGAGAAGGAGGGAGAGGGAGAGAGACAGAGAGGGAGAGAGAGAGAGAGCTTTCCATACATGCCGTGATGGGGGGATGGAACCCACAACCCAGGTATGTGCCCTGACCAGGAATCCAACCAGCAATCTTTTGGTGCACACGGTGGATTCAACCAACTGAGCTGGGCATACCTAGTCTTAATTAATTTCTTTGCATCTACATTTCAAAGGTACCACCTTATCAGGACACACTATCCAGTCCACAGAAATTCTGAATTTGCATGCAACCCCTCTGCTGTCTTGTTTAGTTCCTAACGTGTGCCCAGTCCAGGCTGGCACGCCCCTGGGGCCCTGGAGGAGGATCTTGTCCACGTGGCATGGCACTCAGGGGGCTTCTCATGAAGGGCGGTGAGCGGCCAGGGCCACAGGAGTGAGTCCCCAGACACACTCTTCCCCGTGGGGCTGATCTCAACCACGCCTCCCCGCTGCTCCCACGGAAAACCGGGCTCAGGAGGAGCGCCGGGCCACTGCCCCGCGGAGTGTGGCTGAAGCCAGGGCGGCAGCTCACCTGGGAGCCGGGCGCCAGACCTCCCGTAGGCAGGGCGTCCTTCCCCTGCACGGTGACATCACGGAGCCGCTCCATAAAAGCGGCCCGCAGGCAGCCTGAGCGCAGAGCCCAGTGCCGCCGAGCCTGCGCTGCGCTGCGCGCACGTGTCCTGGTGCCCCGTGTGGGGTCCCTGCGCGCTCCCTGTCCCAGCTCCCTGGTCTCAGCCCGGAGACCGGTGGCCGGATCCAGAAGGAGCCGAGCCCAGAGTCGTCCCCGCCCGCCCCGCAGGAGCCGCGAAGATGCCCCGCAGCAGCCTGCGCGCCGCGGCCGTCCTCCTGCTCCTGAGCCTAAAGGAGCAGCTCTGCCGCGCAGCCCCGCTCCACGGTAAAGTTTCCGCCTCTTTCCCAACCATCCCGGGGCACTCAGCCGCCCCTGGGCTGCGGGGTCTCCTGCGGGGCTTTTTGGTGATAAAGTCATTGAGGGGGAGGGGGACCCCTGGGAGTGGTGCGGGAGGGGGAGCAGGGAAGGACATGCCTGGTATCACATTGCACATGGTTAGGAGGGATGCTCCTGTTTCCTTTGGGATGCATCTGTGGCCGGGGAAACGCTCCGCCTTCTCATTGAAGTATGTCTGTGTTCTCTGAGCACCTGCAGCTCCGGAGCGGGTGCTTGGGAACTTGCTCCCTGGGCCCCTGGGAACCGGGATTTAAAATGCTGCGCTCCCGTTCCCGCACCACGGGCATGGTCGAGGCTGGGGAAGGGTTTGCAGTGGCTCAGGACAGAAGCTTCCCACATCCGAGGTGAGGTGGGTGCTTCACTCGGGAGGACTCTTCCCCGTGGGGTTTTACCTGCAAGTCAAAGGGATGATACATCCCATCCTTAATGATTGGTTTTCTCCAGGAGGGCTCTCTTACTCTAAGCGTGTGTGTGTGTGTGTGTGTGTGTGTGCGCGTGCTGTGTGTATGGTGTGTGTGTGTGTGGTGTGTGTGTGGTGCGTGTCTGTGTGGTGTGTGGTGTGTGTGTGTGTGTGTGGTGTGTATGGTGTGTGTGTGTGGTGTGTGTGTGTGGTGCGTGTCTGTGTGGTGTGTGTGTGTGGTGTGTGTGTGTGTGTGTGGTGTGTATGGTGTGTGTGTGTGGTGTGTGTGTGTGGTGCGTGTCTGTGTGGTGTGTGTGTGTGGTGTGTGTGTGTGTGTGTGTGTGGTGTGTGTATGGTGTGTGTGTGTGGTGCGTGTCTGTGTGGTGTGTGGTGTGTGTGTGTGTGTGGTGTGTGTGTGTGGTGCGTGTCTGTGTGGTGTGTGGTGTGGTGTGTGTATGGTGTGTGTGTGTGGTGCGTGTCTGTGTGGTGTGTTTGTGTGTGTGTGGTGTGGTGTATGGTGTATGTGTGTGGTGTGTGTGTCTGTGTGTGGTGTGTGTATGTGTGTGTGGTGTGTGTGTGTGTGTGTGTGTGTGTGTGTGTGTGCACTCAGATGAGCACACACACACACCTCATTGCTGAGTGTAATTAGGGCCCTTCACCCCGAGGGAGGCTGGAGCTGAGGGTGCGGAGGCGGCAGGAGGTGGTGGATGGACCTGCCTGCAGACTCAGGTCTGTGCAATGAATCGCGGGGAGTAGCTAAGGTCAGGTTAGTCAATCCTCTGTAACACGTGAGGAGGGCGCCAAGCTTTGCCTGCCTCCCCAGCAGCTGGGCGGACGCTGTTCTGAGGGAGTGAATGGTGACTTTTGTGGAAACCCGCCCTGGTCACTGATGGTGGCTCCTGCCCTTGACAGTTTGCCTCCAGTGTGAAGACTTGTGTGGGTGCGATAGTCCTGAGCCTGTTAGGCTGAAACATTTACAGCAGGACCCCAGGGACCATAGTGGCTGACAACGTATACTCCCCGGCTGGGCAGGGGTGGTGGGGAATAGGTCCTGTTCAGCATGTGAAACCAGACGCCCCTTCCTTCTTAGAGGTCATTTTGCCCTCTGCGGGGGGGGGGGGGGGGGGGGGGCGCGCTAGTAGGGGGTACAGGGCACGGGAGAGTGGGGAGCTGGGCTAGCAGCAGCTTTGCCGTTACTCTGAATTCAATTCCACTCCACTGGCTGGCATGATATACTTAATATTATCACATATACACACCCCCAGGGAGATATAGAAGGTCGGTAAGAGAAAGGCGCTGTGTAAAAGTGGAAATTAATTGTTAAAACTGCAAACTTTGACACATATCCCCTCTGGAGAAAGCTGCACTGGGGAGACCTGAAGTTTCCCTGAAAGTCTCCCTTTTAGTTCCAGGCTGTTCTAAGGCCGCAGAGAGAAGCAGCCATTCATTGGCTGGCGCTCCTGAGAGCCTGTTACTCCCCTCACTCCCGGGCAGCTCCTCCAGCTTGTCCTCTTCCTGCCCGATTTCCCTCTCCTTCCTCCCCTGCCCTCCTTGCCTTTCTTCCTCCCCCCTCTCCTTTGTCCCCCCCTTACCCCCTCTCCATCCTCCTAATTAGGTTGGTGTAAAAACTCCACTTTTACCCCACACTGCGTAGCCCACCTGCCTACCTCTGGGTTTTAAGAACACAGGTTTTATTTTATTGTTCCTCATGAGATTCTGGGCTTCTTAACTGCCTTGGGGACAAGGTCAAAGCGCAAATCACTGAGGTGTAGCGTGTCCGTATTAACCCAAGGTGGCGGTTGAAGGGGGTTAAGCTGGGTCTTGGGGTCCAGTGTGGCCTGCCCTCTGCCCGGAGCATTGGGCCTGGTGAGTGTGTGAAGAAAACTCGGAGGTTGGGAAGGAGCAAAATAAGGTGAAGTTAGGTGTCTTCAGTGATTTTTGCTTTGACCTAGTCCCCAAGGCAGTTAAGATGCCAGAATCTCATGAGGAATAATAGAATATAAACTGTGTTCTTAAAACCCAGGGGTAGGCAGGTGGGCTACTCAGTGGGGGGGTGAAAGTGCAATTTTTACACCACCCTAATTTGGAGAATGTAGAGGGGAGAAGGGGAGACAAAGGAGAGAGAGAGAAAGAGAAAGAGAGAGAGAGAGGAAGAAAGGTTTTCTAGAGAAAACCTTGGGTTCTTAGGTGCTGTGGGGAAGGGAGTCGGGAGGGGGGATATTGCAGTGAATTCTGTAGCACCCACTCTGTCTGAACCTGGTGTGGCGAGCTGGGCAGTCTCAAGAACTCAGGGAAGGTTCTAGTACCCAGGACAGGAAGCGGGCAAAGCCCGGAACCCCTGACCTGGATCTTAGTAAATATCACTTCCTCGGAGAGCACCCACGGCATTCTACGGCCTCGACACACCGGGCTGCAGGTTCCAACAGGCACCCGCTGGGCCTCCCAGGGCTGACCTTCTTGGGAAGGAATAGTTCCCCTCCCAGAAGGCCGCGAAGGGGCAGCGGCAGCAGCCTTGGCCTGACCTGTCTTGCAGGGCCACTTTAGTCCTGCTACCTAAGACGCCTGTCCCTAAAGCTAAAGGAGGGAGTCAGGAGGCGCCATGTCCACAAAAAGCACCCAGACACACACGTCCTTATGAAGTCTGCCTGAGGCCATTTCTGTGCTGACGGTGAATCAGGCTGAGTCCTGACCTTCATGGGTGACACCCCCCCCCCCCAACTCAGATCACCTCGCTTTCATGTTAGGCGATTAAACCCCAGCCTCCTGCTCCCAAGCCCCTTCAGATGCTGCCACTTGCACTCAAAGCCCTGAGTGCTGAGGACCAACCAGGCACGGGCAGAGAGGAGGGCAGTGACGGGTGCTCTGGATGCTGCTGCTTTTCAAGGCCAGCCAGGGCTGCCGGGCCTCAGGTGATCCTGTGGCAGCCCTGGCTGTCCACCCTGCATCCTCCGTCCCTGAGCTCCCACGGCATCATGCCGATGCCCCATCTGAGCATGAGCCGCAATCACAGGAGAAACCTCAGCGGAGGGAGCTTTCGGGAGCAGAGCAGAAGACGCAGGATATTGGGGGTACGATTTGATTTGGGGGAAAGTGCAGCTAAAACTTCCGGCCAGAGCAGGCCTGCTCCGAGGCAGCAGCTGGCGGCCTCCAGGATCACTGGGCAGCAGGAGGGGAACTCCCGCGACCTGTCAGCCGACATCCCAGGCCCCCGAGAGCGCGCTCTGCCTGGCTGGGTGGAAACCATGTGCTTCTCTGTGTGAAGTCCGTGGCTGTATTTTAACAGTGAACCCCGAAACAAGACGCTGAAGGAGGTTTGATGTCTTCTGGAGCGTAGTTTCTTTTCACCGTTTCAGTGAAGAGCTGGTGTGCACTTGGGGTCCGAGTAAAAGTCCCGTTCGCCTGTGGTTCTGACGGTCCTCCCCCATTGCTAACCCAGGGGAGGGGAACCCTGGCACTGCTGATGCCTGTGGAGGCCATAGTAGGCTCCAGGGGTTCCATGGACCCCCTGAAATTAATTGTACCTGAACTTGTGTGTCTGAGCTTAGGTGTTTTTATGAGGAAAAGGCCCATAGTTTACACCAGCTGCTTGGATTGATCTGGTCTCCCCTCAGCCCCTGAAGATTGAGAAGAAGAATCAAAGATTCCTTTAAGTTTGTGGGAATTTAGGGTAGGACCACAGTAAAGACCTAAGCCTAAACAGATCACGAAAGAGCAATAGAGGGGCATGTCTCACAGCGATGTGGAGATGATGCCAGAGAATTAAAGAGCAATAGAGGGGCATGTCTCACAGCGATGTGGAGATGATGCCAGAGAATTAACTGAGGAGTACTCAAAGGGGGTGCTGTACGGAGCAGGAAAACGTAGGGGTGTCAGGGGACAGGGTTTTATTTTATTTTATTTTATTTTTTTAAAGCCTTGCTAGAACCACCTGACTCTCTAAACCATGTACAAGTGTATGTTGATAAGATTACCAATTAATATTGAGAATTAAAACAATTAAAAGCACTGAAGCACAGAAATGAAACCGAACAACAGCAAAAATATGAGCTCACACCAGCTTTAAAAATAAAAGCAAAGTCCTCTTTTAGCTTCTAAAACCCACCATAGGCTCGAGCAGGAGATGCCTAGTTGTGATAAGTGACCAGTTAAGTTTGACTCAAATCAGTAACCGAGAGAGAAAGGGGGTGGGAGAGCGTTCCTCTTCCCGCTGTCCCCGGTGGGCCGCCGAGAACACGGGACGGGGGAGGGGGAAGCTAGGACACAGGGACTTAGGCGCTGGGCCGTCCCCTCACTGGGATGTGTCCCTGAGACACCCCGCATTTTAATTCAGGGTCTTGGTCTCCTTCGGGCGGTGAAGAGGGAGGTACCAGGCAAGTGACGACAGCACAGGTCTGCAACAGCTTTTCAAACCGTGTGTTTTGATGTAGGAATGAAGGGCTTTGATGTGTGCGGGGAGTGGGAGTTGGCAGGTGACTCCTGGCAGAATTTTTCCTACACATTCCTCCCGCCCCTGGGATCTAGCCTGTGTGTGTGTGTGTGTGTGTGTGTGTGTGTGTGTGTGTGTATGTGTGCGAGCACGTGTGGCAGCTTCCTTTGGAGAGCAGTGTTTTCCTCTTTATGCAGCGGTGTGAACTGTTCTCCAGGATATGTTGTTAGGTAGAGGGAAAGCAAGATGCAAAACAGTGTTTCCAACATGCCAGCCTTTGTGTGAAGAAAAGGGGAGCCCTCGCCAGAGTGCTCAGTGGTTAGAGTGCCAGCCTGTGCACCGAAGGGTCATGGGTTGGATTCTGGGTCAAGGGCATGTACCTGGGTTGTGGGTTCCATCCCCGGCAAGTTAGGGTGCATGTGGGAGACAACAAACCGACGTGTCTCTATATCGATTTCTCTCTCTCTCTCTCTCTCTCTCTCTCTCTCTCTCTCTCTCTCTCTCTCTCTCTCTCTCTCTCTCTCTCTCTCTCTCTCTCTCTCTCTCTCTCTCTCTCTCCCCTTTCCTTCTCTGGTCCCTCCCTCCCTCTTTGCCTCCCTTCTACTAATTTTAGCAATCAATGGGGAAAATATTCTCGGGTGAGGATTAACAAAAAAGGGGGGGGGGGGCAGAAAGAATACAATACCTGAGTGTGTGCAGTCATACCATAAAAGATTTCATCAACTGATGAAACCAGCCACCTCCCATGGAAACAGAGATCTGGCAGGAGAAAGAGACTTGCTGTTGACCTGTCAGCAGCTGCTGGGTTCTGAGCCTTGTGAACGTGTTTCTCGTTCAGCTAACATTATAAATGTGGCTTTTCTGAGATGTCTAGGGAGGCTTTTCCTGAAGAAGTGTTGGGCATCACCCACGTTTCCGTCTCACCCGTTTCAAAATGAAATCTGTGTTTTTCTCTAACTTGTTCAAGCACAGTTGTACTTAACTTGCTTTGTTTTGTTCTTTGCAGGGTTCGACTGGACCTATCTCGGTAAGTGGAGATCTTACATATATGTGTGCTTTTTAGGAGATGGCTGTGTTTAATGAGAAAGCCAGAAATGTCACGATCTCTGGAGATTTTTTCTTTTTTTGGGGGGTGGGTTGGGGTGGTGGAGAGCAGCTCTGATATTATTTAAAAGGCACAAAGGGCCGAAACCGGTTTGGCTCAGTGGATAGAGCGTCGGCCTGCAGTCTGACGGGTCCCGGATTCGATTCCCGTCAAGGGCATGTATGTTGGTTGTGGGCACATCCCCAGTGAGGGGTGTGCAAGAGGCAGCTAGCTGATGGATGTTTTTCTCTCATCGATGTTTCTAACTCTCTCTCCCTTCTTCTTTGTAAAAAAATTAATAAAATATATATTTTTTAAAAAGGCACAAAGCCCTCTCTGAGGAATCGCTCCACCGGGGATGCATGCTACACTTGCTCCTAGCAGACGAGCAAGCTCTGTGCCCTTGAACTTTGAGTCAGTGTTAAGGCTTCCAGGTTCCTGCAGGGATTTCTTCCAGACCTCCCAGGTGAGGAGGCCCAGGGTGCTTCCACTCTGCAAGGGCCCGGGCAGGAGAGCCTTGCTCTTCTGCGGGACATTTACCGCACAACAAACAAAGAAGAAAGGGCCCTTTTCTGAAAGTCTGGCTCAGGCCCCGAGACGTAAGCTGTCAGCATGTCTAGAATTAACGTCTTCTTGCCCTGATTGTAAATAAGCAATAGGTGAAGTGGAGGTGTCCCATCCTTCGTGAAAAGAGATGCTTGTCTCACACGGGGAGAGAGGGGCACCCGTCGTGCGATGCGGTTTCTGTGGGGTTGGGTCCAGAACGACGCTGGCTGCTTCCAGCAGGCTTGCAAGACGCGCGCCTTGAAACCAGCGTGGCTGGTATGTTTCACTGAATTGGGGACTCGGCCATCAGCTGGAGTGGGGACCGGAGGCCACGTACCTGGGTCCCCTGGCAAGTGCCTAATGTGAATCCAGTCCTCCCCTTATCTGCAGTTTCGCTTTCTGTGGTTTCAGTTACCCAAGGTCAACCACACGGTCTGAAAATATTACATGGAAAATTCCAGAAATAAGCAATTCATCGGTTTCATGTTATGCGCCGTTCTGAGTAGAGTGATGAAACTGCGAGCCGTCCCACTCCGTCTTGCCCAGGACGTGAATCATCGCTTTTGTTCTGCACATCCATGCTGCCCATGCTCCCCGCCTGCGAGTCACTTAGGAGCCGTCGTGGTTCTGGGGGTGACGAGGGGAAGGTCCCCCCTCGCACACACAGCCTATAATATGGCACATTATACTTGTTCCATTTTATTATTTTTGATGTTAATTTCTTACTGTGCCTAATTTATAAATTAAACTGTGTCCTAGGTACCTATGTATGTACTTATAAAAACACAGTATATGTAGGGTTCGGTATTATGTGTAGGTTCAGGCATCTACTGGGGGTCTTGGAATGTATCCTCAAGGACAGGGAGAATTTCTATTCTGTCGTCTTAAGGACAGAGTCACAGGGATTTGCAGCATAGCTTGTATGGTAGGTGCGAGGGTGGAACTGGCCTTGTGGGCACAGGAAGGTGGTGACAAGCAGGGAAGCTGATTCCTGCAGTGAAAGCAGAGCCCAGAGGAAGACCTGGCTGAAATCTGTAAAAGCCTTTGTGAGCCCAGGAGGCATAGGAAAGTTATCAACCTAATTGGCCAGCTACCTACAGGCCAAGGTTTCTGTGGCCCTGGCATTGATGCCTCCAGCTTTACTAACATCCCTTAGGTAGTTATTATGAGCAAAGCGCCGTTGCTAAGTGGGTGGGTAACTAGAAGGGGAGGCTGTGATCTGAGGCTGGGAATTACTTAAGGCTCACAATTCAAAGCAGAATATAATAGGCGGTAATGAGAGATAATAAGTGGTTTGGTGCTCTGATGGTTCAGAGAAGGATGAGAATGCTAGGGCTGTGTGGTCAAGGAAGGCTTGCTGGAGGAGGCGACTTTCACCCGGGCCTTGGGGGGTTGGAGGATATGGTGTGACGGGGCAGAGGTGCTGTGGGCCGAGATGACGGTGGCGTCACGTGAGTGGAGGCAAGAAAGGAGAAAGTGGTATTTGAGGGGAATCATGTAGAGAAGGAGTTACAAGGGAGAGATGGGTTCTGAGTTCAAAAAGAGAGGTTGAGACAAACAGGGGAGGCGTGGGAGGGCAGGGAAGGCCCTTCTGACTTTGTCCCCTCGATGGAGGGGAGGGCAGGAAGTGATCTCCGTTTTAGGGAGAGTAATAGGGTGGTGGTGGTAGTGGTGGGGGAGGATGAGAAGGAAGGATAAGCAGGAAGCAGGAAGGAGTTTGGCCTTTGTAGAAGACATCCCATCCTGTGTCTTAACACCCAGTTAATGGTGAACGCCGTGAGAGAGAAAGAAAGAGCAGGGCAAGAGGCCCCACAGAGGAAGATTGGACAGGTCAGGGCCTCAGGCAAGTTTAATGTGTGGGACGTGACAAGAGCAGTGCAGGCACGTCAAGATGGCTGGACCCAGGTCCTGGGCCTTATTCCATGCGACCGTTAGTAAGCCTCTTGAGTCCTCTGGGTCTCGCTTTCTCCACCTCTGTAACCTGTGATGGTCCTGCTGTCTAGATCATTGAACCTCCAACTATGGCTCGGGGTCACCCCCATCAGAGCCACCTGGAATGCAGATTGCCGGGACTTAGCCTGGACCTGGGGAAGGGAGGAACCTCAAAAGCTCGTCTATTTCATGCACTTCCCAAGTGAGAGAACCACTGACCAGATGGGGTAGCTTGCCCCACCTCTTATACTAGCCTCTCAGGTGATAGTGGAAACACAGTTCCAGTCTCTCCAGGGCTCCCTGCCTCTGTGTGACAGCTCCCTTCCCCCCAGGGCAGAGTGAGATAGTTCCAGAGAAAAGGGTTGAGAAGGTGTGGGAGGGAAATCTTTCTGCCCCTTAATCATGACATGGTGTTCCCCGAAGGAGGCTTCTCTGTCCAGCCACGTCAACCAGTTCAGAAGCATTTTTCCCTGACCACAAGCTCTGGCCGGCCCTCTGTCCCTCTGTTCCACAGTTAGAGCAGCTATTTGCTGAGGAAGCAGAGGGTAGAGTCTAATGGTGCATGCCATGGTGGGGGGTGGGAGGAAGGGAACAGTGAGCACAAAGGCAAATCTGGCTTTCCATTAGTGAAATGAGCACGTGATGTGGAGTGAGCTCTCAGTGGGGGCCAGTGAAGGAAGATAGGATGGAGGACAACTGAGGAGGCAAACAGGTCCTGGCCGGCAGCTGGCACCGGGCCTCAGAGTCGCCCAGGTAAACAGAGGACCTGGCACAGGTGCTGGGGAAGAACTGTCTCCAAGCATAAGGGCTGCCCTGAATGGGGCAATTGCAACCAAACACCATGTGGCTTGCCCAGGGCACAGACTCAGCTATTTTGCACGTAGATGCTGCTGAATCATCCTGATCGGGGACCTCCCACTGCCTGGGACACGTGGCAGGACTTCTAGAAACATGTGGAAAGAGAACTCTACCCCCATCCCTCTCCACATTGAGTCACCAGGCTGACCTCTCAGATGCCTCCCTGGACACAGGAGAGCCATCTGGTAGCCAAGATGGGGCCAATCGTCCCCCATGCATTCTGCTCGGGTGGCTGAAGCAGCAGCTGGACATGTGCTGGGTTGAGAACTGCTAGATGGGCCCCTCCCCACTGGAAACCAGTCCCAGGTCAACCCAGCTGAGCCCCAGCAGCTTCACCGACTCTGACCTGGAGGCCAGGCTGTCATGTGAGCTGAGGATAGACTCTGGCAGCTGAAGCGAGTCCATGCCGGTCAAGTCAGGTGATGGAAGGAGGCACCAGGAGAGGAGCTGCTCAAGTTCAGGTGGTGAAAATTCATCTTGCTGTTCGCTATGATACAGCTCTTTTCTGTGTGTATATTGTAGCCAAGAGAAGAGTTTAAACCGTTCCAGCTGGCCGGGACTGTCAGCCTCCCCCTGACAGTTTTTTTTTTTTAGCCCTCCCCAAGAAAACCCCAAAAATTCCTCAGTGTGTTCAAAACAGCAGAGCAACCAAAGAGAATGACTCTGTCGGAACGAACAACCCAAGAACGCCTCATGTGAGCAGAGAATGGGCGCGCACTCCATCCTGGGCCAGCCACGTGCTGTTTGGCTGGAATTGCCCCCTTCAGGGCAGCCCTTCTGCTTGGAAACTGTTCTTCCTCGGCACCTGTGCCAGGTCCTTTGTTCACCTGGGCGCTGCTCTGGTGCTCCTTGGGTCAGGCTAGCTCAGAAGTCAACACCCACACAGTCTGCTAGAGATTTTGGAGAAATAGTAAGACCCTTAAACCTTCCGAGGAGGAGGGATGAAAAGGGAACATGGAAGCCAAGTCCACCTCCTGGAGGTTGAGTCCCACCTTTTCCCTGGCCAGGGCCCAGGGCTGTGGGAGCTCTGGGATGACGTGGCCAGGCCTGGGGGTGCGGGCGGCAGCCTGCAGCCACCCTCAGGCTCCGGCCCTTCTTCTCTGCAGAGGCTGGGCAGCCCTTAGTTCTTAGAGCACCCACATGATCTATGACCCGGGAATGCCACAGCCTTCCTCATGTGCTCTCCTTCCTCCCGGACTGTAGACCCTCTGTCTTAGAGAATTGTCTTTGGGAACACAGAAGGGGTCCTCCATGGGGCAAACGCTGCTTCTCCAGGCTCCCACCTCCCACCTCCCCCACCTTCTGGCCTGAATCTGCTGGAATATGGAATTGCTATCCATGGCCTTTCCCTGGGATTGGGACATCCCCCTGCGGCCTGCCCAAACTCTGAGAAGTGACAGGGAACACACGGAAGGGGGCTAGGAGGAAAACCCCTTTACCTCCTATTCTTTAGGTGATAAAGGTGCCACGTGGCCTCACAGACAAAGGCAGTGTGAAAAGCAGGCGGAGTTAGACCTCACGGGTGAGCGCCAGGGGCAGTCAGGGAGTGCGTGCGATTAAAAGGCCTGTTGAAAGAAGGCGAGCACTTGTTTTCCCCAAAGGTAGGG